AGGATCATGGTCTGACGAACACCCAGAAGACCATATTGCAAGGTTTGCTAACGTTAGGTCCCATATTACGGAAAACCAATACTGAGACTGACATGGACAAGTGAATACGAAACACAAAGTCAAAAAGCTGACACTGAAATATCACTTGAGATAAATAGTCATTTTGAAGTATTAAAAGACGCTTTGTAGTCGGTCAAGTTCAAAACTTTCGCGTGAACATCAGTATCCACACAAGCACAAGCTTGCACGTTTGCAAAATTACCAAATCGTCAATTGAGCTTTAGAAAAATCAATCAAATGGTCTACCAGAAACGATGACGACTACCAGACCACAACTCCTGACTCTACAGACACGTTGAGCTTAAATAAAAATGGGGAAATTTCAAAGACAGACACTTCATTGGGAATACAAAATTCGACTTAGAGAACAAATCAACAAACCAACAGTGGGGAACTCACTATGGACTCCATGTACTATTTTAAGCTCAACAAACTTTCGCCGATAATGAAGAATTCCACACAACAACCGAGCGAGGGACCAACTCGAGTGCAATGCTGTGTTTTGCGACCAGAGTGATGCCGTCCTCTGCGACACCAACATTATCCCTAGGAAAGACAACATTTGTAGTTTACCTCTTGATCTACGAGAATTCGCCTACAAAGAGCTTTTATAGAATCAAGTGAAAAGCAATTATTGCATCGAGACATACATCTGTTCAGGAGTGGTATCCAATGCTATAAGAGGGTTGACTGTTTTGAGAGTGTTCATTTATTTTGTTGTTTATGAATTATTCACGAGGGAATAAAATTTCCATGCAACGACTTATATCCAGTGTGGCAGTGATAAACACAATTCGAGACGACACTTTGAGTATTTACAAAAATGTGTTTAAAAGAAATATCGCCTTGAGAAAAGTGTGTTAGTGACTGGTATAATTTGATTAAATATACAACCATATACCGTTTAGCAAACAAAAGACTATTTACTTATTAGGAGGGAAATTCTTTGTTAATGACTTGTTTAAACGAGCACATTCAGAATCTTCTTTTGGAGATGCGAGACCGCACTTAGAGACTTTTTAACGAATGCAAACTCAAAATCACCTCTCAATTTTTGACTATAGCTTTTTCCTCAGCATACGGAGACTAATTTTCGGGAAAAACTATGACAGAATTAAACGCTCCGTAGATATAAAGTTTACCATGTCACATTTTTTTAAAGTTCTTTTTTTGTGGCCTCAATGTTTCATCACATTCCGTAGGAGAAAGTTAGTGACAGTATTGAGGACTTAGAGGATTACCAAACACTTTTACAAGAACTATTTTCTCATACTACTGCATTGAAGTTTGGACGAAGCGTGATGTGCGTTGGACTGACTACTTTGCTCGGATTTCGTTAATAGCAGATTATTTTGAACCATTTATGAGCTGCACATGCAGGAAAAACATCACGCCAAAACTGTATCTTTACACTGACACTCATTCTATTAAAAGCGTGATTTCTGATCAAGACTTCTCTACATCAGTGTAAAGAAAAGATTTTTACGCTTCATCCATGCTTCATGCTTACCAGCAAGTGTTATGGCTTCTGATAGACATCAACAGGTTCGCGACTGGAAATATATACGTGAATGGAGATGTCATGGTTTCGATGCTTGGGTACAAAAGCCCAAAATGACAAAAACGAATTAGACCTAGAGACAGTGGAAGACAAGTCAGATGTGAATATGGAATTTGAGTCAATTTAGAAACAGCGCTAGCAGAAGAAAAACCAAACACAGGAAGCAAATGCTACATGTTCACAAAAGTAGTATTAGCAGTATCATCGACCATTATAGAAAAAGGAAAGATATGCCATTCACCGAGAAATTAAGGAAAATGTTTCACTGCGACTAGAAGAGCATCAGTGTGCACGAAGATTCAATGTGACTAAATAGCTCAAGAACGATTCACAATTATTTGTATATATTCAGTTGCAGTAATTTTAATATCTGCCACAATGGTATTCGGTATGATTTGTGCCTTGTGTTTCGTGTTTTAATTCTTGTACACTGAAGTGTAAATGTGTTTTTGTTGATTTTATTGTTACACTTTTTGAAGAACATTGAGTGTGTATAAAGTTTATAGATGTCTTGTGTCGTTCACGGTAATGTCAGATTCTAAACACTATTGTTATGGCTGCATCATCCTCTGTTCTCAAAGGGACTGACAAAAAGTTAGATCGCCATTTTTGGGAGGCACAATATCCTTGTCATCCCTTTAACATCTTGACTTCTGGAGCGAGTGGTTAAAGCAAGACAATATTCACAAACGCGTCGTGGAACACTAATCACACTTGTTTTTGATCGACAACTACAATATATCGTGTGATGTTACAAAGAGTGGCAAGCGGCGTGCGTGTTATTCCAAAATAGGTCAAGGTGAGTCTATTAAGTTTGTAGAAGGTATGATGGGATCGTGTCTGGCTTTAGTTAAACACCTCAAATTAACTTCGATGACATGTTAGGATAAGATGAAGAAAAGAAACGAGTTTATAATAGCTATAGGAAACGCACTGAACGTGATCTTCTATGCAGAATTTGATAATTCCCTGAAAATTAAGTTGAGAGAAGTGGTCCTACACTACAAGAAGAAATAATATAGATCACGCAATGATGCAGATAGGGGGATTTTTTTGGCCCAGAACAGGAGACAAAAATACTGTCATGGTGTCAAGATGACTTCATTTAGTCTACTGTTTTGCTACTGATATGCTGAAAGAATTACCAGCTAGACGTGAGAACGCTGTTAAAGATGTGAAATCGAGTATCCTTAGTCAGAAATAATACGACAATTGTTTGACAATGAGTCAAGAAGAAAAGTTGGAAGAGTAATAAGAAGTAGATTTTGAGAAAGTGAAAGAAAGAATGGTACACCATTCCTTACATCATTGATTTCTCTGAAGAAAAAAAATACGCATTTCAGGAAACAGCGAGCAGAGACTACATGTTCATCGACTTTCTTAACGGATATTTTCTATGAAAATTCAGATGTGAAATAATGATTGATCATTACTTGTAGGAAACAAGTGTTTGTGTTTTTCTGAGAAATGCGTTACATTCGACTTCTTGGAATCCTGGGGGTGAAGGGTGTTGAAGTTAAACTTATCCTCAATTTACTATCAAAAAGCCAAAAATGTTCAAACCTAAGTCATCAGCACAGACGACAGTCATCAACGAGAACCCAATTGGTAGATGTTTACTTTCACAACAAATAGAGATTGTAATATCTTTATGATTTGGACAGCCTCTTCTCGAAAACATCATTGTAAAAAGAAATTATGTATCGACTCAGTTCAGAAATGTGAGACTAAATGGACCCGAGTTAATGGTATATGGTCAATATTGTATATATTTTCAACTAAAAGAAAAGTTTTACATTAAAAGATTTTAATACCTGACTCCAGAATCCGGAGCCACAACATTACAAATCACTAAATGTTATCATTTTTTCTGCTCATTTCTGTTTTATGTACGTTTCCGTTAACTAATCCGGTACACTAGAAATTGCAAACTGCGATGCAAAGATACACGTGGCAAAAGATACAGACGCACCAATGTAACAAACTAACTACTGGTACCGTTATGTTAAAAGTTATATCATGGTTTGCCTAATACGAGTAATTCCAAACTAACGCAGGGTGATATTTAGCATACTCTGTAAAAGACAATAACACATATATCACCAATATCTTCCTAGCAGTACGGTGTATGATAAATTGTAATGGTGTTTATGTAACTAATATTTTTGAAAACGATTCTGCCTAATAAAGACAAAAACTGTGTACTACGGTTGTTTACTGGTGTAATTCAGTTCTATATATTTCTAAAACGAAATGCATAAAGCACAAGGAATTGGAGCCTTCTCAACCATGTAAATTTAGAACGGTCCTAAGCCCAGACCATCAGGACCCGCTCCATAAGGCTGCAAATGTCGGAAATGACACCACTATGTCGGAAATGACACCACTGAAAAAAAAAGCCTGTTTGCTCTGTACCAAATGAAATGCATCCCAGACGGCGTTGCACTCTTGCCAGGGCACCATTTCCTCCATTTTCCTCAAAGACATTTTCCACCAATTAAACAAACAAGGCTCTGTGCACACGACGTTATCGGAATGACGCAAACAACTGCAATTTAAGTATCAATAAATAAGTCTCGACACCAACTTAAGGTCAAGAGAACTTTGCCAGACATTTGTACACCAGGAATAGGCTCAATACCTGCTAGGGACACTCAATTTGATCTATTCAGACAATCGGTTGCACCAGCGGACAGTGATAAAGTTTTCAACTTTATCAATGATGAGATACGAAACAAAACCAGAGAAATGGCAACAAAAAAAAAAAAAACTTGAGGGAACACTAAAAAGTCAATGTATTGTCATAATAGAGGTTACAACCAATAAGACTCATCTAAGAACGTCACGCACATCCAACCTGTACCATAAGACTAATGATAAAAGCTGCAAAACTATCACAAGAACGGAGAAGTAGGGTACACAGACTGGGATATGGAAATGGAACAGCCACTGAGAATGACCTCCCATCATGAAGACAGTGATTGGGGCTACAGCACCGACAAAAAGTTCCAATAGTAAAAGAAACCTTTCCATAGTCCCTCAAAAGGTTGATTGGAAAAGTGAAGCAAATTATCCCCTCTCATCTATACCAGTCTCCACCAGTTTTTGATGTGGAATTACATGGAGTGGAAATGTGCTGCATTCGGAGCTAATTCCAATACATGCAAAAAATAGAGAAGAACCTTCTTAAAGCCACCCAAAATCTCTAAAAAAAGATAGGTACTATTCCAAATTATTGAAAACAAAACTGGTTTTTTATGTGTTTGTTTCTTTGTAAATGTCTGTGTTCATAACTAGGACTTAAAACCTAGCCCAAGTGTAATAGCGTTTGCAAGTAGAAAATATACGTAAAATCACTTCCTTTTCTTGTTGAAAGACCTCTCTAGTGGCCTAAGTGGTTAGAGTGACCGCCTCGGATGCTGGAGGTCATCGGTTCGAAACCCGGCCAAGTAATTCCAAAGACTTATAAAAATTGTACAACAGTGGTGTCTCTAGGCACTCAGATTAAGGGGTTAGTGAAAAGACTTGTCAGCCTGATGTCAGGATAATGTTACTGGGTGCGACATGATGCACAAGACCTAAACTATAAACTGCAACAATGCAGACATCATAACGATATGACTGAATTTTTTTAAAGCTACGTTAAAAATACAGATCTCTCTCTCTCTCTCTCTCTCTCTCTCTCTCTCTCTCTCTCTCTCTCTCTCTCTCTCTCTCTCTCTCTCTCTCTCTCTCTCTCTCTCTCTCGATCTCTCTCTATCTCTCTCTCTCTCTCACACACACACACACATACACACACACACACACACTTTCAATTATATTAGAGCTTAGTGTGTGAATAACGAAAAGAAGTTGTCGATTTTTTTAGGTCAGCATATTGTCTATTGACTTTGTATCATGCATTAGGTTACATCAGTTTTGAATCCCGTCTGCGTTTCTGCTTTGCATGGATGTTTTAGTTCTCATGCGTGATTATACAATGCAATTCAGTGAGTTCACAAGTCGTACAAATTAGGGAAGGGAGGCCATCAGTTTGATCGAGAGAGCAGAGCACCTCCCGGACCAGATCAAGGAAATGAAGTGTTGCCTCGACTAAAGTTAGCGGGGACAAGATCTCACTACCAGCAGCTAAGTGGTTTTTGACAGAAGTAATGGAGCAGGAAGTCGTGAAGATTAAAGCAACTTGGGAGGAGGAAAAGAGGAAAAAGGAGAAACGCAAGAGGAAAAAGGACTTCCAGAGCCCAAGTTCCCACTCCATGACATCGTAGGAGAAACGCAAGAGGAAAAAGGACTTCCAGAGCCCAAGTTCCCACTCTATAGCAGCGTAGGAGAAACCCAAGAGGGAAAAGGACTTCCAGAGCCCAAGTTCCCAGTCCATGACAGCGTAGGAAAAACGCAAGAGCTGGGGCTTAAAGACTGGATCTATGATACAAAAGGACGCCATATAACCTAGTTTTAAGCTGGTTTTCTCCACAAATACATCTTGGCGTAAACAATGTACAGCTTGTTGTGTACACCCGAAGGGTGTTAAGTACTAAGAAAGAGAAAACACTGACCGGCCTTTTCTGGGAAACCAAAATCTCTAGAAAGCAGATAAACAAATCATTTGTCCACAATTTACATTTGCGTACGTATGTTCTGTGTGTGTGTGTGTGTGTGTGTGTGTGAGCGCGCGCTTTTTTACATAAAAAATGAAAACCCATTATTCCTTCAATCTTCTGTGTGATAATGTAATATGATTGTATGTATAAGTGTATGGTAAAGTGTTCATAAACACGTCTTACCTTTTTTTGAATGTTTAGAGTTTTGTGTCTATGTTATCCCCCTTTTTTTACATCTAGCCCTCCTCTAGCTTGATGGTACTCTTAAGTATGGAAGTATAGTGTGTGTTTTATACACGCATGCCCTTGTCATTAGATGGTATTGGTGTGTTGGGATAATAGGATTGCGTGGCTTTATTGTAGAAGGGTGTTGTATTGAAGTTAAAAATTTTAACCTCACAACATACAAAGCTTAACGTTACATTTTCACTTGTCGCCATAGTACCGCAGCTGACCTTAAATTTCCAGGTCAATCTGGGAAAAAAGTTATATCGTATATGTATAATTATCATATAAGAATAAAATCCAAGTACAGTTGTTATTTAAGCTATTTTATTTTATTTATTATTAGTTACAACTTTATTTATGTTTACGAAAAGCGTTTACAGAAAAATCAGTAAATAAACAATTTATAGTAGGTTAACCGAGTAACTGCAGAAAGTGTTTTACGATCTTTAAGCCCCTATAACATGTTTCCTCCGTTGTACTAACAAAAGGATTCTATTAAGTTTTGATTGATAGACTAGTAAACTTACCTTATAGCAGAACCATGCAAAACGATATTTCATCCTATTCTCAAAGAACGGAAAGAAATAATAAAAGCACGTCGAAATAAACAGCTACAGCCGGGTCGATATATTGGCATCCTCTTGTTCCCTAATTAGCGTGACACATCTTATCTAACTTCATTCGGGACGATTAGTGGGGCACATCTTATCTTAGTCCATTGAAGTCCTAACATTCCGCAGGTGTTGTAAAATCAACACTTTGTAAGAGATAAGTTTTATTTGAGGTCACCGCGACAAAAATGCAATAAATGACAGGATATAGCTTCCTATAACATAGTGGCGAGCCTAATAGAGACAAAGAAATATTTTATTAGTTTCACCTGTTCATCAAGTTAAGATAAAGAAACCAACTCCACAACATAAATATTATTTTAAAATATGTTTAAAATTTTTAAACAAGATGTACAATTAAAACTGAATATAAGGCCTACAATTAGCATAACAAGCTAGAAATTTTCACAATCACATCAAATAATACCATTATCTTAAAACAGCTGCGTGGATTCATATATAAAATATTACTATAATTAATTCATTATACACCAAAGAGTGAAATATAGAAACTTATTGACGAAATAAATTTTATATTTATTTTCTCATATCTGAAAAATAAGTAGCCAATTGTAGACTTTTGATTGTGAGAAAATGTATCAGCAGATAGCCATGTATGACTACGCAATGAATCCGATGCCTAGTTCTGATTGGTCAAAAATAATTCATACGCCTGATTTGATTGACAGGTCAGGTTTTGCCATCTCTCTGGCACCCCCATCCAAATCTCGAAATTGAAATGGTTGGTTCTAAATATTTACAGGATGTTTGTGGGGGTGGGTGCATTTTATAACTCCTTATTTTGATACATCCGGAAATTCAGAAACTAATCAAGTCAGGACACGGGTGTCCTTAGTAGTTAATCTAAGGCACGCGCCTTGACAGATCGCTCCTTCATTTTCCGTTCTTTTTTTCTTTTTCTTTTTTTTTTTTGGTTCGCCTGAGTTGGAATATCAGCTCGACCAACGTGGATATGTGTCAAAGCTTGCCAGTGGCATCCCAGCTTCTTCCTCTTATCAAACATAATGACCGCCATGTGTGGCCTATCGTGATGAAAAACATTGTTAAACCCCACAAAACCACATCAATCAATATTTAAGGATTCCAGCTGCACATGCACACTATCTCATTTTCATGAAGAGTTAGAGAAATCACATGCATGTTGAACAACTAAACGAATGAGTGCATACTGGTTCTATAAAGTCAGTTATACTAACTGTGGCTCAGTGGTTGGCGTACTGGATATGCGACTAGAAGGATGTGGACTTGAATCGTACTATCCCACTAGCCTAAGTTGCCTACACTTTTGTGCCCATCATGTGCAGTGATGTGACATGTAACCCTAAACAAGACCAAATGATACTAGATTATAACAGACTGAAGCACTTTTCTTCAATAGACCGGTCTATTTCTTTCCGTGCGGACTTAAACTCAATCTTGTTTGTACACTTGGTGTCGACCTAGGACAGACAGTACGCGCATGGTATGATGGCATTGCTAGTTTGGGATTGCTAATCCACTTTGTACCATTAGGCCAATTATATAGCATGGGTTAAAAAGGTCCGTTCGTTTTTAACTACACTGATTTATTATTTGCTACATATTTAAAATATTTCACGTGTTCATTCTCTATACTGGTTGAACCCTATTAATTCGACAAAACAGGAAAGGCATTTTTGCACTTTTGTTTTTGTTTCAAAGACTAGCATTTTAATGGAATTAATTTTTGATAAAATATAATAAATATAACAAATTATTAAGCATTGCTCTCTTTAAAAAAAAATAGTTACGCTTGCCCAATGAGGACAACAGCACTTAGACATGTTGATGTTTCCGATTTATATATGTATACAACTCAAGCGATTCTGGGAAACTAATGCAGAACTTACAAATCCCCCTCGCCAAAAATAAAGGTTTTTGTGTGTTTATGTATACTCCCGATGTATTGCAGATGTATTATTTTTGTAATAGAATTTTGAAAACACATTTTTAAGTGGGTTTTTCTTTTCCCGAATGTTTCTAAAAGGTGACTTCCCTTTCCGATTTTAATCATCAGATTAAAAAGGTGCATCCTCTTTTTATTTCAAGTGACAGTTCGTTGCCTAAGGGATCGCTTACGTCCTATGTAGGCTATATGTGTTTTGCTATATGGTATATGTGCTATATATGTGTTTGTGTAAGGAGGGCATCTTAAAAATTATTTACGAGTTGTCTTTCGAATATATTAAGTTATCAAACTTATTTAATTATTTTGAATTTTAGAAATTCGTATGAGAAATGTAAGCTGTTTATGAGATAAATAAAAACAGTGATTTAGTGATAGCTATTGTTTGTCATTTTTCATATATAATTTCGAATATCGGAGGATAGTTATAAAACCAGTTTGCAAGGATCCGTGAGTCTTTATTTATCAAACTGACAAGGCCTTACACCATACTCTCCATAAATAATTATTTCCCAAATATAAAATTTCAAAATGTCAAATATAAAATTCAATAAAGCCAAAATGTTGTTAGACCCTTTCTCTTCTCTTGGAATTATATATATATATATATATATATATATATATATATATATATATATATATATATATATATATATATATATATATATATATATATATATATATATATATATATATATATATATATATATATTAGAACATGTCCCCATTGTACTTCTGTATTATACGTCCATGTCCTCGCACATCCATTTTTCGGAGGCACCTCCACCAGTCTTCCAAATTCGCGTGGCATTTCCGTCTCCTACTACCTACATAGGTAGGTTTATTGTCCCTTCCTAACTACCAAATATGTTTACGTCCTGCCACATTTATGTGATTTCTAATACTATTTTTTATGAATTTAGTATTTCATAAGAAATAACAGTCATTTATAAACTGGCAGACGTGAAGGGATATGATATTTTATGAAGCAGAGTGACATGTCGCTGTTTTTGTTTCTTAAATGGGTGTCAACGCACAATATGCACATCTTGTCCTGCTCCTCTATCCC